ATATGACCCCTTTAATAAAAAAATCTTACATATTGTGCCTTTAAGTGGTAGGCAAGATGAACAAAATCCCGTGGCTTCAGAGTACTTTAAAGGAGTCTTTCATTGATCTTTTGACGTATAACAGCTTAATGTACTATAAAAAACATCCTGTAAGATTCAGAACCCAAAACTTTCTGGTGAGTTTGTATTGATACCAAGCTTATGACGTCATAGTGCGACGACGAAAGACCGCCTCTGCTGAAGAAGATCAACGCCTACTTCTACAGCGCTGCCTCTTTAGCCCCGCCCACTGAGTCACGCATCACAGCAGCCTCATCTTATATGCAAAACTGTTAGCCAATCAGAGCAGTGGGCGTTTACTTCCGAGTCTTGAAGGTGCCCTTCCTATAAAAACAAAGGGTCAAAAATAGGATTAAAAATAGCTTTATTACTTCTAAATTATGATGTTATGTAAAAACTTTATAAGTGGACCTCAGAGAACATTAGGCTATATAAAATAATAATAATAGTAATAAAAAATGCAGTTCATGACCCCTTTAAAATTTGTTTTAATTATTAATTATTATTTGTTTTTCTTTTGGCATCTTACAAACGTCCCCATTCATTTAATACATGGGAAACAGACGCTGGGTCTCAACAATGAATGTACTCATAACGTTCTGGCAAATGTTTCTCAAAGCTAAGAACAAACGTTCTTTTAAAACGTTCTCTCAAAGTCATATGGTAATAAAGTTATCAAAATGTTAGCACACAATCATTAATTATACACTGTTCATTTAAATTTTTTTTTCGGAAACATTTTAGTTGGATGTTAGCCTAAAATTTTTCAAACTTTTCAAAAAAGTTTGCAAAATGGTAAAATTTTATTTTCTAACATTAACATAACAAAAAAAAAAACACGCTGTTTATTATTATTATTATTAACTGGACGGTTTGACTTTAATTTAATGAAAATTTAATGAGAAAAGTAGCCTATTTTTTTGAATGGGAGGTTTGGAGCTACTTTAAGTGTGTAGCTATAAATGATGACCATATAGACTAACAACGAAGCAAATTGAGAAAAAAATCCATCACGAAACTACAATTTCATCAGTCTGGAAGCACACCCCTAAATGGGCGATTTACAGCTCAAAAACTCACTTTTGTAATGTGAAATTAGCTAATAAGCGCTTTAACAATAATACAAGCTGCATTTATTTTGAAGCCTCGTTTACAAACTGAGGAACGAGTCGAAATAATCGAGCGCATCCGAGCCGGGTAAACTATAGCCAGAGTGGATGGAGGAATTCTCCAGGGTGCTGAAGTAGGCTACACTACTTCATGCACACTACCGAGGGATCAGCCACACCCGCTTCAGCTTATTGGGCATCTTTCCGTGGAACGTCACATGCAAAAGAGCCACACGTACGTTTATGCCGATGAATTGTAGATTAAAGGGAGGCAGAACATGCAGATTGGGTCCCACACACAGACACGGTCCGACTGCCCTCGCCTCATCCACCGATGACTGAGGAGATGCGTCCTGACGAGACCTGCTGAAGAGCTCCAGCGTTCATCTGCGTTTGACAGCGTTCACTCACTGACAGCACGGCGAACACAGCACGATGCTGGGATTCTGTAGAGCTGGGACAGCGCTGGCTCTCATCCTGCTCAATGCTCTGGTGCTCATAGCTGCAGCGGACGAGGAGCTCATCTTTAGCGATCATGTACTGGTCCAGCTGCACGAGGGGACGAACGAAGATGCTCATCAACTTGCCCTGGAGCACGGCTTCGGGAGCGCGAGGAAGGTAAGTAGCAGTATGCACAGCAAAACGGCCACTTTGATGCATGCATGTTGGTTTTTAGACATTTATAATTATGCAGTCACATATAGCTGTCAATCATGCAAATCTGAGTACAAGGTGTTCTCTTGTGGACAACACAAACAAAGCAACTGGAATGAAGTGCTACGTCCATTCAGCAACATGCAAGCTCAGAAGTTGAAAGGCTGGTGAATAAAACTGCTGTTATGTTACAGTGCATCAATTTAAAAGCCATGCCTAATTTATTGTTTTTTAATGGTCATGTGGATCATTAGGCTTTCCTACAGAAATCTTAAAGGAAAGTGTACAGGATTCCTACTGGAACTGCCAAATCCTTCAGGGATGAATAAGAACACTTACAAATTAAATCCTTATTATAATAATAATAAATGTGAAAACAGGAGTGCCAGTTTATCCAGTGGGATTTTTGTACGTTTTGATCTCATAAGAATACATAGGATTGGTTCCAAATGTATGATTTCAATAAAAAACCCCATTGCTGTAAGATCATTGGACTAGTGTGGAACTAGAGATTGGGTATCTACAGATATTCTGGTAATTATGCTATGCTATGGCTATTATTATTAGGATGTGCATGTTTAAAAGTCAACACAAATGAATCAGTTTCTTGTTTGGAGTACAATAGAAATACAATAGAAATCATTCTTTTCGGTTGCATAAGTGTTATGAGCAGTGAGACAATGACTGAGAGTAGATAGTAAACATGTCTTTCATCTGACATCGCAGTGTTTATTTATTCCATGTCATGAAGGGCCGTTTATCACCGAACATAGGACTTGATTAGCCTTACAAATCAGCCTTGTCAAATGTCAAAGCATGTCTGCTGCAGCTCTCACTGGAGTGGAACAGAGTTTAGGAATAACACCTGACCCATTATCATGTGTATGGCTTATTGCATGTTTTTGAGAGGGATTTTGTCCTCCTAATTCACACCCGCTCTGTCTGAGCCAGTATATGCTCCCCTTGAATTGTGTAATTCTCTGCTTTCTTTGCTCAATTAAGACGCACCTTAATAAACACTGAGATCTGTTAGCTGAACTGGACAGTCTGCAGCTTTTCGCTCTCACATTATTTGACTTAAATTCCTCAATCACAATTCACTGTCAGTGCCTTTTATTCAGGGATTCTTCATTTCTTTGCCATGGCAAGTCTCATAGAACAGGATTTTAATTTACAATGACAGCCTGGTGGTGAAATGACTTTGTCCTCCTGAAATAGAGGAACGATTAGGAATAAATAAATAAAAAACACCAAAAGGTAAATTTAAAGAGCTAATACTTTATAGAAACTACAATTATAGTTTAATCTACAGCAAGACAGCAGAGTTAAAATGAAAAATACAATACAGCTGCCAAAATATAGTTTATATGTTATGGTTTCAGTCATTCAGAGCTGATTTTACATTCAGAAGGATGTTAAGTGGATGATTTGATTTGTGGCCGAGTGACATTTCGGTATATTCTGCACTCACACTGCACCATTTCTACTTCAATATTTCAAGTTAACTGTAATGAATATAGTGTAGTACATGGGTCATTCCTAGTATTCGGTGCCATTTGAGTTCCCATGACATAATGTGGTATATTTTGCGTAAAAATAGGTTAATACTTGTTTCTGAATGCTAATCTTACAAAGTTACTGCCCCTCTACAATCAAACACAATAAAAAATGTATTAATTAAAAATAATTACTCTTATTTTAGTGCAAGTAGGCTAAAATGCCATGTCCCCAAGTAAGCTTGCATAACTTCAGCCACAAATATAAGTAATAAAAATCAAACAAATTCCTTTTTTTTTTTCAATATTGTTGTATATTCTTATTTATAATATTCCTCAACAAAATACATTTTTTATTATTTATAAATTTTTAGTGCTTAAAGTCTTTAAAAGATGTCGTGTCCCTGAATTGAATGTCCCCCGTTACTCTGATGAAAAGTCCCTCTGAACACGGCCCTTGAATGTTTCTCTAATAACACGATTCTCAGGAAGTATAACACTTTTTGGTGGCAAACTATCTACAAGAAGCAGAGTAATTAACAATCTTTAATTCACCCTTTTTTCAGTGTTTTATAATGATTCACTGATATGGTAAAGCATAACATGTCCACTCTGTTATGCTTATTTCTAATGAAAACTAATAATTTTTTGTAATTTTGAAAATATGGTTAATAAGCAGGTTAAAAATCTTCCTCTGTGATCACTACGCACTAGCATGTTGTTCATTACATGAGTAGCAATAGCTGACTTTAGCATAAAATGTCCCTCCTGTTACTGTCCACCCTGTTACTGTTTTGCACTGTAACAGGGTGGACATATTGTAACATTTGATGTAAAAATGTCATAAATAAGTGTTTAAAGCATGTATTGGTACTTATAATTAATTTATTATGCATTTAAAAGAAAGAGTTGCTTAAATAGTATGCATGTAATTGTCAGGAAATGGCGCTGTTGTCTGCTGAAGAAAAGCAGCGATGCTACAGGGCTCGTTGTGATGCACACCTTGAAAGAAGGCAGATATACCTCAATAAAAAGAACAGGAGGTTGGAAAAGGACATAAAAGAAGGAAGAAAAAAAAGAGTGTTAGAACTCAGCTTTGTTGATTAAGTAGAAACTGTAATAAATTATCTTGACTTTGCCATTACAATGTGTGTGTGTCTCTGTGGTGTGTGTTCGTGTCTATGTGCTGTGTGTGTGTGTGTGTGTGTGTTTGTGTGTGTGTGTACTGGTATTCCCTGCATTATGGGGTCCAAATGTTCCCACAGGTATAGTAATAACAGTAAACTGTCATCTTGTGGGGACATTTATTTGGTTCCCATGAGGAAAACAGCTTATACTCTAAGTCATACAGAATGAAGTGTTTTGAAAACCTAAACTAACTGTAGTTTTGTGTGAGGGGTCGGTTTAGGTGTAGTGTTAGGGTAAGGATATAGAAAATACAATTTGTACAGCAGAAAAACCATTATCCCTATGGCATGAGCCCATAACGATAGGAATTTTAGTGTGTGAGTGTGTGCGTGCGTGTGATGTGTGCGTGTGTGAGAGAGAGAGAGCAAAATAATATGTTCTCTAAAACTATAAACTTTCAATAGTAAAATACAATGATAAACCTATTTTGTAGCCTAATAAATGGACAGCATAACAAATGAGATCTTATAATAATAGGTATAAGAACAACTTACTTTAATGTGTAATAGGCCTAATATCCTATATATTTTATATACAGAACAATCTATCTGTTGTAGTGAGTGTAAATTGTGACAATATGCTTCTTGTATTAGGCAACATGTTGAAATATACTGTTGTTTAGTGATGTGATGTCCACCCTGTTATGTCCTGTCCACTTTGTTTCCCCCTCTGTCCACCCTGTTACCTCAGTGTTTTTTTATATTACTAAAATAATTTCAACAAATGCTATGCATATATTTGTGGTTACTTGTAGGGAATTAAATGGTCAAATGAAATAAGTTAAAATGGTTCCAAAATTCCATTTAAATGTATTTTTATTCTAAAAGAAATGTGTTGAAATTACGCTGTCTCTCAAAAATACAACAACTTTTTTTAAGATAATGCCCGATTATGAACACTTTGTTAAAATACATTTGCATAGTAAAGAGAGGGACATTTTAGCTCTTAGAAAATGTAAATATTACAATAACTGTGCATTCAAAACACTTGTTAATTGAGATGAGTATGTCCTGTAACAGGGTGGACATTTGGTCCTGGCACGTCTGAGGAATTCCATGAAAAATTATTAAAGAATAATATCCTGAGCTGGACCAACATATTTTTCTTATAGTGTAACAAGCCCTTCTTCAGATAAAATGATTACATCATGGAAATGTAAAAAAATTTTTATGGAAAGTTACCAAGATGAAATGGCACCGAATAGAAACAATATCTGCTCGCTTAATCTTGGAATTTATTAACTTCAGAAATATGAACTGATGTTTTCGAAGTTTGAATACCATGTATTATATTTAGCTGGTGTCAGACTAGGTTTTGTGGAGCCAGTGATGTTCTTGTGTAATATTCAAACAGTGTCAGTTGATCATATAATACACATCAAAATGATAATCTCTGGGGGGTATTAGTTGCTAATTTTGACCCACAAATACTTAGATTTAATCTTATATTACACTGTAAAAAATGTGTTGTGCTATCTACTTAAAAAAATTACAATAACAATATTACACATAATACTCACTAAAAACATAAAATAGCACTTAATTTCAATATTTACTCTCCATATCCAGCCATATGCAATGCATGCTGGGAACTAACAATCACTGCCAAAATAAAACTGCATAATTGAGCTATTTCTCTTAAAATGAACAGGTAGCCTTTTTTTCAGTTTGATCAGGTTCTCAATTCAAGCCTCAAAATTTCCTTCAAAAATTAGGAAAACATATCTCTTGGTTTTATTAGTGAAATATTTTCTATACAACACTGAAACACAATGTCTTTAGTAAAATATACACAGTATTTTTTTAAATGAAAATTACAAGACCCATGATTCAGTTTTTACAGTGTACACTTGATTATTTGCATGCACAAACAATTTCAGCATGTTTTCTAGGCACATTTCACAACATTTTCATGCTGAGGAGTGTTTTAGTGCATTAAAGAGTTTCCTTAAGTTTATGAATTCACAGCGGGATGAAATATTGACATATAGCCAGACACTCAGCCTTTTTTGACCTTCAAAAACATTATCAGTCATACTTGGGGAAAACATGCATCTGTTGGGTTTCCATAATCATATTCCACACTTCTTAAGAGGCCAAACTCTCTGCTCTCAGCTCTTCTAATACAGGTGTGTTTAATTGCAGCTTCCTTTTGGCGAGGGACTATTTCATTTCTACCCGCGGGAAATCCCTAAAACCAGGAGGAAACGCAGCCTGCAGCAGCACCGGCACCTGGCGAAGGATCACCGAGTAAGACCAGAACCCCACTGTGTGTTTGTTCCCATAGAAACTATTTACTTAAGTATACTTACTAAAATAAACTTGAAGTATACTACTTTTTGGTAAGGGCAGGCGCATCTGGTGCCAGAGCCGCTGCTTGTAAGAGTTCAAGGCTAACGTGTCAATCACACGATCACTCTGTTCTGGCTCGTACCTCGGCTTGATGGTATTTTGAGTGGATTCTCTTGAGTGGTATTTTATCAAGTGTTATGACACTATGCAGTTTGAATGAGGTTACATTATTATTTATGACAATCTCACATACAGCATGGCCTCTTTTACATTATTAAATGTACAGCATAAGATTTGCATAATGTATGTATTCACATCAGTGTTAATTTCGTTGACGAATAATTTTCGTCATAATTTTCGTCAACAAAATGTTTTTCACTGACGACAACGAGACGATAACGAACGAAGAAAATGAGACGAGAACGAGACGAAAATGTTAGGGAGGTACGATTTGGGAAGAGATTCATTCAGAACAAATCTGCTGCGTGGTTCGGAGGTTAGATGCGTACATATGAACCGGTGGGACATAAGCTAACACTTACTTGCTGCACGTCGCATAAAACGTTCAAAAATGTCAATATGTGGGAGTAAGAGAAGAGCAGACATATGGATAAATCTGACGACGCAAGACAGAACTCAATTCAGTCCGGTTTTCTGAGTGCAGACACTGAAGCACACACACACAGAAAGCGCCTCTCACAGCGCGCGAGTACTCTTTCGCGTCGCATGAACGGAGAATTATACACAAAATGATGTCGAATTGTCCGTTTTGACGAGTATTCACAAAAAAACAGTTGATTACGTCTTAAGTAAACGTAAACAGCAGGGAGAACGTGTATCAGTACATTGCATCCATTGCAGCTGTGCATTCGTTTTTTTAAAGGGACAGCAGCCTAATTTAGTTGCTATTGTCAGAGTCACTGATGTTCATTAAAAAGAAGACCATGTTCTTGTTCTTTATGAGAAGTGGTTTTATTTAATTTTAACATAAAGGCATGTTGTGTGTCACCGCAGTTAAATCGGTGTCTATCATGATAAAACCTTAATATCAAACCTATATAATGAGTTTGGAAATTTTAGAGAAATTCTTAATAAATGCACTGTAACTTAAACCCATTCGATTTTAGCCGACTACATTTACTGTAGATTTAGTCGACTAAAACTAGACTAAAACTAAAAACAACTCACATGACTAAAATATGACTAAAACTAAATGGCATTTTAGTCAAAAGAGTAAAAGAGTCAAAAAAACTAAATCAAAAGTTGCTGTCAAAATTAACACTGATTCACATCAGAAAAGATGAATAGAACTCAAAAAAGTTGATTAAAGTTTTAAATTTTGGGACATAAAGTCGGGCCCCGCATATTCTGACTAACAGCTGCCATCTCTGACAGGAGGAGATGTGTTTGCTTTGTTTTTATGTTATGATGTGAACAAACTGAAAAAAAATGTGTGTAGACTCCATCCAATAAGTGCTGGTTATTTCACAGACACAAAACGTGAAATATACAGCTGTGCTCCTGGAAGTCACCCACTACACTTAAACACAGTTTTGGTTTCCAATCTGTCTGGAGCTCAGACTACTTGTTCGTAAAAATAAACGAACCATAGATGGATTTTTGGGACAGAAAATGGGAAGATTTCAGTCTGTAAGATTTAAGCCTATAATCAACCTCCATAATCCTGTGAGTGGCGACAGCAGCGATTTGCACTCGCATGAGAGGATCTGTTCACGTTCTGCACTTTTAATAACGAAACAGCTATTAATGTTCAATTGTGGTCTTCAGTCGGGCTTGAAGAGCTGAATTATTTATTAGTCCTTTCATCAGGGCCGAGTGTGTTAACTCATCCAGTGGCACAAAATGTTTCCAAACCATCAAAACACTCTTTCATCGACATATTGAGCATCATTTGCACAGATCTTCAAAACATCAGGATGCATTAAATTAAGTTGTGAAGGCCACTCTGGCTAGTTGACTGATTCACATAAACGTAGTCATTTTAAAAGAAGTCTGTCAGAGGGCCCAATGCACAGTGTTAATATGAAGCAATTTTCCGTATTGTGTTTTACCTGTATTATGAATTCATGCATTGCATTATGTTGTGCTTTAGAATGAAAGGAAATATCTGTAAACTTAACAGATTGAAAATTACCAGAACCTTTTCTTCTTACAATATGCATAATCTGACATGTTGAATGAGGAAAAAAAGGCATTATCGGGAATTTGTGGATGAAATCAAGCACCGCCTCCAGTCACCTGACTAAAGCCCACTCTTCAATATCTGCTCATTTCCTGGCCCTGCATTATCATCTCTCAAAATACATCACATGACGGGAGCGAAATGTCATAAAATCAGTGTTCAACAAGAAAGAAAATGCTCTCCAATAACTAATACCTCTGAAATTATACATGCATTCACTCAAATGTAAAAAATCACATTATTGTACGGGTGATGTCTGATAACTTCCCCGATCTGAGTTTGGATTCAATTAAAGGCTGTTCCAGCGACCAGGGTAATAAATTCAGAAGTGACAGACCTATCACATTCAATCCATTCATCATCTTGACAAACGACACGCGTGTCTCATTAACAGACTGTGATGTGCTTTAGCTCGGTGGTTCTCATTGACGGCCTAAAACCTTAAAATGGACATCAGGTCATGGACAACAGCAAAAAACCATTGCAAATGCAAATAATAGTAAAGTATAACTCACTGTGTGTTCATTCAAACACAACAATTTGACTCAAAAAAGACAGACTCATGTACTCATCTGTACTTAGCCTTGAACAAAACCACATCAAGTACAGGAAAAGATGACCTAAACTATATTCAGTACAGGTTCAAATACAAAGGGAAAAACACTTGTGTAGGTTTGTGCGTGGAATGCGATTTGCGTTGAACGAAAGAGATGTTTAGAAAGCGAACTGGACCGCTTTGTTGCATCAATTTTTGAGCCTATATGCATTTCAGTGTGAAATAAGTTCCAGTGTTTGACTTTCAGGACATTTTTGTTTCAATGTTGGTTGTCCAATAAGCAAATCTGAATCCTGGAGAAGTAGAAGCAGTGCTTTAGCCGTCTGTGATGGATTTACCTCAACAGCTTCAGACGCTTGTTCATATTCACGCAAACAGCCTTCGGTTTGAGCCTGGAAGGCCCTTCAGAATCAGTGCTTACGGATGAAGGGGAGGTTTCTGCATCGCCACAATCATCTCAGCTCAAGTGTTGTCACAGTATCGATCGGTTTCTTGTTTTTGTGCTCTGCTCATTCACACGCTCCTCTCTGGCTGTTTACACTGAGACTCTGCTAATGTTTGCTTTGCTCTTCATTTGGACAGTCTCTCCCCTTCTGTCTTGTTCAGATGTGCGTAACGGCGTTCTTCATTATGCTGATGAACATCTCCCTGAAGTCAACGTGACTGTCCACGATCTGTTTTACTTCCGTATTTCTGAATCAAGTTATTAAATGTATTGAAGGACTATGCAGATGATGCACTACTGAACTGTGCACAATAGGAGCAGAAATGTGTGTCGAGGGTCATTTTTAATGCCATAACATTTTCTTCAATCTCATTTAGAGGTAAGCCATTGGCTCTTCTCTTTGCTCTGGGTTTTGGTTTAATACACCTGTACTTCACCTTTAAAGGCACTTTAAATAACACTTAAAATAAGAATGTGCTTTTGAGAACTTTATGGACAACATTATGGAAGACTTTTATGCACTTACTGTTGCTATCTTGGAAATGCTTGTATTCCCTTTATGCAATGTAAATCTGGTACTTAATTTCTTCAACTTTTATTATAAACCAAATGAAAAAATACTATAGTATTTATAGTAAATACTATAGTGTTTTTGAACCATACTATAGTAAAATGTATTATACTGTATACTGTATATTATAGTATTTGCAACACTTTGTTAAAGAATGCTACAGCATACTGTAGTATTAACTATAGTGAACTGAAAAACTGTAATAAATACTGTAGTATACTTTAGTTTTTACTACAGTAAACTGTAGTGCATTGTAGTATAATATACCCTATAGTTGTAGAAAACGTAGTACAGTATTGGGTAAAGTAATTTGTTTAAATTACTATAGTTGTTATATTACCACAGCAACTATAGAATTATCACAACAAATTAATTCAAATACTTTACTATAGTATGGTTCACAACAAATTAATTCAAGTACTTTACTATAGTATGGTTCAAAAACACTATAGTATTTACTATAAATTACTACAGTATTTTTTCATGTGGGTATTCACGGATGGTGAAACACAATGCGACTGATTGCAAAACTGCTAAATGAAAGGCAATGTGTCCTTCAGTACTGTTATACGGTAGTGTAGAAATGGTTCTGCAAATGATGTGAATCTTTACAATAGACATAACCGACCCATAAACCCATGAAGCCAATTTAATCCAGAGAACAGCACCTGTACCTGTCACTTTCCCTCCTTTCAGCTCAAATTCTTACAACTCAATTATCATGTCCTTGAACCCAGTGCCTGGCAGAGCTGGATTTCCCTCTTTTGCAGAAAGAAGCACATGCTCTGATTCAGATAGACGTTTGCACAATGACCAGAATCTCATATCACATGTGAGTCATTTTTTATCACAGTAATACTGTATATATCATGATATATATTTTTCCTATAGATTGAAAAAAAAAAAAACTGGTTTATACCAGGGTTATTAAAAACTAAAAAACTAAAACCATTAAAACCAGTTTTGTTACTTACAATAAATGTTAGCTGAAATAAAATATAATAAAATAAAATAATAAAAAGACTTATTTCAGCTAGTTTCCAAGGCAACCTTTCTCATTTTTATTTAATTTAACTTGATGTGCTAAAATGTTAGGTTTTACAAACTTTCACCGTAAAAAATCTTACTTCATTAACTAATATAATGTTAATATAACAAGCTATTAAAGTACTAATATCTGTTTTATACACTGAAAACCATCAAAATCAGGTGGGAATGAGAAAGTCTGATGAATCAAAGCTCATCACAAACAGCTCTTCTTGCTGAGAAAGTAAACACTAATATATAGAAGGTGCACACAAACACTAAACACCATCATGGTAACAACACACATTATAATGAAATAATGCAATTATTAATTAAATAAATAAATAAACATTAATTTAACAACATTAGATGTAAGATAAAACCCTCATGTACACAACTGTACACACAACTTTAATTTTCTGAAACTTAAAGGGGTGGTTGACTGTTTTTTAAACTGTGTTTATGGGGTGCAGCCTAACATGTGTTAATGCATAGTTATTGTTTTTTTTTTTTTAATCACATTATTTTTCACATAATTTACCTTTATTCTACACTGCTCTGTCCCTTCTCCTATAAACGCGCTGATGAGTTCCTGGTTTTATGAAGCCCCTCCCTCAGGAATACGTGATGGGCTCTGATTGGTTAGCTGGCTCAGTGTGTTGTGATTGGCTAAACCACCAGTGCGCGTCTAAACGTCCCGACCCTCACCTCAGAATGCACTCTGGTTGGTGCTTTCTTTGTTCTCGGTTTAAGAGATGAAGTCGGAGACACTGAGACTGACTCGTCATCTCCGCAGTAGTGGATGTGTCTGTATGCATGTTTTAATCATTATAATGAGCCTTTAATTGCCTACAAAGCCTAATAAGCGCTCAAGCACACTCATAAAGCTTGCCACAGCGTACCGCAGAAGCTATGATTATGAATGTGTCGGGAGAAACAGTAAGGAGACTGCATTAACATTTTAATAATTCACTGATAAACTAGTGCTTTCTTTGTTCTCGGTTTAAGAGATGAAGTCGGAGACACTGAGACTGACTCGTCATCTCCGCAGTAGTGGATGTGTCTGTATGCATGTTTTACACGGATTACATAATCTGAGAATATTTGTTTTCCATTTGAATTGATTCATTTGAAATTTCAAATTACAGACATTTCACTCATTTTTAATGTCTGTAAGGCAAAGATATACACAGAGTTTCACGCTCAAGTTCACAGACCGAGACGGAAGAAAGCACATCATGTTTGCTTTCATTATTTTACAAAAGCGCAATGTTTTGTTGTTATTGTGAGTGCACACAAATAAACGTAGAGTCTTTGCAGATTTGAAAGATGTATTACTCTTATCTCGACGACAGCTGTGGTTAAACGCGATAAAATGAGCAGACTGGACAGAAACGATCGTCAACTTTTTACGGAAGTTACAACGGTTCTTGAAAAACTCAGGTTCCAAAAAAAAAACATGGTTCCCTGAGAATAGGAACGAGATGCTGCGTCCACTAGAGGGCGCTAGGGGAACGCCTTCAGCGTGACCGGTGTCTGAAGCATGAATAAAAAAACGACAATGAACTTGACATTGGCAGGCGGCAGCCTATGACGTAAACAATAAAGCGAGTGCGGGTATAAAAGA